AGTACAATATTCTTCCATGACGGCGCATCTCAGGACATGCACAGCTTCAAGAGAATAGAACACTAGAAGTTCTTTTAAAGTGCTCATTACATGCCTACTATCATTGAAATTCATCCTAATACTAGACTTATGTTCACTAAATTAATTGCTCGCGTAATTTATTTAGTAAAATTTTGCATTAAATAAAGGTTTGCTTGAGCCCTGAGAGGAGGAATGTCGTGGCCACATTTTTTTCTGCTCACACGCCATTGCCCGGCAAATGTGTTGCTCGGAACGAACCTAGTTTTCCGCACCGGCGGACGGGCACAAAGCTTGCCTGAGGCGACCACGCACGCAGATGCTCGAGCTTTTTCTATTCATAGCTTCCGTATAAAATAGATTACCTTTTGAATTCCATAATATTCATATAATCAAGTTGTTCAAATAATTCTGATTGAGATTCTTAGCAAACACAATTATCCCGATTGAAAGGTATGCTCATGTCCAACATAAACTATGTCGAGAAATAGGAAAATCTTAATACAGGAGAATTACAGAAATAACTTTCCCTACTTACTTAGCTAGGTTTGTGATAGTTATAATATTTTTGTAATTACTTCTATCAATTTAAATCGGATGGCTGAATATTTTTGCGCATTTCAAAGCATTCAAGCCTGCAAGTTTCTACGAAAAGTTCGTGGACGGATTGGGCACATGGCAAACGAAAATTGAGAATTGAAGGACCAATAACCTCAGAAACGACGGAGCCAACGGGCTCACTACATCAACTTCAGCGCGGGAGCACAGCTCTTCCATCGTTGCAAATAGATATTAGGGATTATAAATTTGGGAATATTGATTCTGCATGAATTTTTTGTATCGCGTCATGCCTTGTAAATAGCCCTGGTTATGTTATACTGTAATATGTACATGTCGACGTTAATGCCACGCAAATAGCGGTGCGCTGCACATAGGCCGGTTTGAATTGCCGGTGGCCTAATATATACATTATAAGAGATCAAGTGGCATGAATTAGAGCGAGGGAAATGCTATATATGTCTATTTAAAATTTTCTACATCCAAAAATACATGACATTACGTCATGAAACACATCACAACTAGCTGCATGAAAACTTGCTCCATCGGCAATAGTGCATAACAATATTTAAATAATTGGCTATCTCACGCAGGGGTAGCAGGAGTAGTGTTTCTTTATGTTTTCACTAAAAGCATTAGCCGTAAGGTAGAAAATGAATGATTGATGCTAGAACCTGTAAATGAAACACAATCTAAAATTGAGACGAATTGTATATAAATATTAAAATTTGAATATAAATTTTTGTTAATCTCAGGTAGTTTCTATGCACCTAATAGGCTTCATAATAACACAATTTTATAATATATACAATAAATTATATTATATACAGTTATGTAATATAATATACACGATAAATATCAACAAGATATTTAACAAGCATGGCAATATCTGTTGGGCATTCAGAAGTCAGTAAGAGATCAAGAGAATGAACATTACAAATAGATTTTCAACAGACGATTTTATTTATTTAACACGGTATTTCGTTATTTTGAACATTGTTTAACGAAATTTAATTGGGCATTAGAGCTATAAAGGAACATATCACTTACTTCAACGCCGATTACTTTGCTTGTACTTTAATCAAGCTTGTACACTTCCTGTGCTGGAGTGTTCAGTTAATCCCGAATGATGTTGTGAATCATTTGTGTAACAAACGATGTTTCTGAGAAATAGGGTTGGAAATAGGATCTTGCTATAGTTATGTACAAAATATGCATGTACCATACGACGTAAACAAAATAATAAAAATTGTGAGCTTTTTTTAACATAAATTCAGTATTAACTGTTAATTTTTCACTCCTGCTACTTATCTAAATTTTAAGTTATATCTCAATTTATATCAGATCAACTGGCTTATTTTAATATGCATAAATGTTGAAAAATTGTTCGATGGAGAAGAATAAAGTCAAACGTTGGTAATAAATTTTCGTTATATTCGCATGCTTACAAATAAATGGTCACGATGGTTCTAGTGATACTGTTAAAGCATGGCTTAACTCATGTTACCGTTTGTGTTCATTAACCAGTCGTCATAAAATCCTCTGCATCTAACAACCTCTTTGTTGCTTGTATAAATGCTTGTTTTATTTTCGACTGCTCACTGGCGCGGGCGCTACAAGTATCTGAGTAACTAACTTAAATATTGGCTGTAAACTCCGTGGACTGATTTACACTTTTAATGAAATCTTTGTGTCACTGAATTCTGTGAGTAACTAAAACTAAAAAATATATAAACCGTTATAATTATTTTGAAACAAAAATGAAATGTCTTATTGAATTATCTTCATCAAGAGAGATGAGGAGGCGTGGCTCACACAGCAGTAGGCGTGTCGATGGAGCGAAGGATGATGAGGAAACTCCTTCTTCTGATCAGACCGTCGTGTGCTGCTGCAGAGGACGCATGTATAGCTTTGTGCTCCGACCCGTTCCCTCGATATATTACTTTACTCATGTGATGGTATCCCGAACTAGCACTATATTATATTTAAAGCTTTGCTGGAAGTGTATTAATTATTATATATTGTTGATGTAAGAAGTGATATCATTTATTCATTATTTTGAATAATTTCAGGCATTCGACGCCATAAGCGCGTTGAAGGCCCGACGAGGAAGCACGTGGCGCTAGGGAGAACATTTCATTGTTAAAAACAAACAAGAAAAAGAAATATTTTAGCAAAGATCATTCGATTAAACTGCAAGAAGGGACCAGAAATATTGCTGGATTTGTCGTGCCTTTTTTATAACTAGTAAAATATTGATTTTAAAAATTTCTCGATTATAAAGTATAGAAGGCTTTAATGATTTCTTGTGAACTTTTCTTAAGTTTTACCTGGATTTTGGAATTGGTGATGTACACGCATTTACACTTGTGCAAATATTTCATTTGTTATGTTTATTGTTACAAAATTGTAAAATCAATTCGGTAGGCTTTTTAAATTAATTTTGTTCATCCGTAACTCTATTTATAATTGAGCGGTGAAATTTTCCATCAGAAAATTGTACTCAAAGTATCATTTGTAATAGACTTGTAGGAATGTACTCTCTAGACGTCATATATAAAAATATCCCTACACATAGCCATCAATTACTACTAAATATGAAATTTTGAGCACCAGAAGAAGATATTATAGCGTCTATTGTATCGACGATATCTTGTATTCAATATTTTGATGATAGATTATTTTGAACTGGCTGAAATATGTTTGGCTTTCAAATGATAAAAATTGCCACGTCAGAGGAGTTATTATTTTTATTAAATTTAGTCTTAAATTTCCATACTAAACATAAACTCACCAAGGGGACAGTTTTAGCAGGGTTTTTTAACACGTTTTTAACACGTTTTTCTTAGCTTAGCTTCGCGTTTGTTTGTTTGTTTGTTTGTTTGTTTGTTGTTATTAACACGTTTTTCTTAGCTTAGCTTCGCGTTTGTTTGTTTGTTTGTTTGTTTGTTTGTTGTTAACATTGACAACGAAAATTAGCCCACTTCTGATTGCTCTAGAGATCTGAAATTCGGCATGCAGGCTATTTTCGCCTAACAAATTCAGATACAATCATAAAAACTAGCAATTAGAGACCTAAATTAGCTTAATTGAGTAAAGTATATATAAATAGTATATATATAGTATGACGTGCGGGCGCTGACGTTATAGACCAGCAGGCGCTTACGCTGCGTATCATCGATACATACGTCAGGGCAAGTAAATTGGCTCGCAACAACGTTTTTCATGTGTAGCAACGGACTAAAAAGGAGAAAATAAAATACTTAAAAGACAGCTTAACAGTGAAGTGCAGCATGTCATCGTCCCAACGTCTTCAGCTTTTCGCTGGATTAATTATCATTAACATCCTACGGATGCGTGGCTCTGTCACTGCACGGCGTGGCTCTGAGTGACGTGCCGCACCGAGACAGTGACGTGCCCGTGTCTCTGTCACTGCACGGTGTGTCTCTGTCACTGCACGGCGTTGCTCTGTCACTGCACGGTGTGTCTCTGTCACTGCACGACCTGGATTTTCGTATCCATGATATAAAGTAATTTTCTTAGACATGTGTACAGATTTCAGAATCTTTTTAAAGAATCTATTGTCGTCATAGCAATTTTCTGAAAACTATTGTGTTCGGAAGGAAGACTAAACTGTAGTAAAAATAGATTTTCATTGAATACAGAGCAGCTATCCTTCTTGCTGCAACATATTGCTATGATCTGTTGCATTGAACTATAAATATTATTTTGGGACTCGATGTGAGTGTACGATTAAAATGCATTGCATTTTGTGGAAAATGTTGTAATTTTCTGTATTTGCCGCCAGATTTTACATAAACATGTAAATCTTATTGCCAATCATTTGCTCAAGATAGTAGAAAAAAGTTTTATAAGAGTTATAGCACCTGAAACATAAGTTATTATTAGCATTATGAGTTGCAGCAACATGGCATTAAATGCTGATACAACATTGTACATTGAAAAAGATATTTAAAAACGAATTTTTTCATTTCGGTGTGCAACTTCGGTGACAAAAAATTTGATGAAACCGAATTAATTTATTTTAATCCAGCGTGCAAGTGGCTGATATCTTCATCTAATGTTACTCTAATAAAAAATATCTGTATTGTATACCTACAAGATGAGGCATTACCTGCACAGGTTATGAGAGTATTTTCCTAATTAAATTAACAATTACCTAAATTATTTAAACACCAGTATGTGCTTTTGTATCAATTACAAAATGGCACCTGATTAATGGCTGTATTCATGAAGTGCTAGTACGTCACCGCAAAAACAAAAAAAAGCATAGCAACCGAATGAATATACACGTCAAACTGGCGAATAAATTCCATCATACCAATAATTACCTAAAATATTTTAATTTCTGTATAATTTCTATATTTTTACCAACAGAAAACAAAAGAAAACTAATCATGGATATTTCATGTCAGTTGTCAATAAACCATTAATAGATAATAAATCATGAGTAATAATAAATGTTTGTACATATACTATGAAATGCGCGCATTCCTGCGAAATAAAGTAAATATCAAGTCAGTAGAGGGAGCGATGAGGAGCCTCACCATCGCAGCGATCGTGGTGACCGGCCTCAGCTCAGCGGCCCTCGTGAGCGGTGAGTACAACTTGTACTAGAGAGCTGCCTCGTGAGCGGTGAGTACTACTTGTACTAGAGTGCTGCCTCGTGAGCGGTGAGGACAACATAATACACAGACCACATTATTACATGTCTTCACTGGTATAACATGTTTTTCAACCAGTGCAAATTTATGCCAGAAAATTATCAAGTTTATTGAATTGTGGGGGATTTTTATTCTTCGAAAATTTGGCTGAAACGTTACTTCGAATTCAATATTTATTTTTTCTAAACTTTAAAAATCCCGTAATTAATGACTGCATTGTAATGAACTTAAAAAATTCTTCTAATTCAATCCCGCACGAAAGCGACTGAATATTTTTTAACTTGCCGTAACTCAGGCTTGACATTATATTCATCTGCGGTGAGAGCTAAATAAGGAGTCGGTAATCGTCAGTCAATGAATTACCAACTCGTTCCAACTTACACCAACTCGTTCCTAAAATTCGGATATTAATAAGCCATGCTGGAATAAATTTCTTAAATTTATACTTAATAAATTTATTCCTTATAAATTATTCCTCTTAATTTCTTCGGTGAAAATAAGCAGTGATGCAATAAATTCATAAATTTCTTGTTTTAATGCAGTCGATATTCTGGCCATAAACATGCCTATTTTCGTTATCTGGCTTATTTCCACAATGCAGTTCATCATGCTCAGAAATGGCCATTTTTCCCCCGAGTTCAGTAAGCTTATGCCACTTCACGAGCTTCGTAAATAGCAAGTGTTTTTTGCGCGCATCACTCAAAACGCTGATGTTGTTGTCTGATCCGTAATTAGCCGCAAGCCCACCGCAGCTCACAGTTTAAAGTCGAGCTTCCGGTCCGATAAAAAACAGGACGACATCAATTGCTGTCGTCACTCTAGATCAGCGACTCAAAACACGGTTCACTAACTTTCCCTTCCACTGCAAGCATTTGTTCCGAAAATATTGACAGTGATCGTTATATAAATTCACTTTTCAGTTTAAATTTATAATAAAGCATTGTTCAATAGCTTAAACAATGATATCACATAAATAAGAGATTTTATTCAGTTCACAATTGGGTTCATTGTGCGTGACTTTTTCCATTCTAAACCTGCATCGTTCGAAAATCGAGAAATGATATCTTTAAATTCTAAATGTAGCTCATGGCTTATATACAACGGTGTTATATTTCACTACCAGCAACTGTAACTACTTATGAATATTCCTGTACTGTACCTTCGATTCCTTCACTATCTCTCATCCCGCATCATTATAATGAAGAATCTTTTGTACGATAAGGTCCGATCGGAGCATTGCTGGCGGTGCATTTTTAATGACTAGCATTTAGGAGCGCGTCGCTGACCTTTCCTTAACTCGTCGGGTCTGGTAAGCGCTTTATGAAAACAACGCACAATTGATGGATAAGGACACAGGCTTCAGAAACAGAGATACGGTGCCTTGGGTTTTGTGGTGTCGGATGCCATAATTGTGTACGGTTTTATGCTAGATCTTTTATAGGAGAATCTCTGATTACTGCTCTGTATTGGTCGGGTGGCATTAAACGTTTTATTGTTCTAACCGAAAAAGCATCATGGACATCGACCAAAGATACTAATTAAATTTTTTGGATTATTCAAACGAGTCAGTGTAACGTAAGAAAATTAGTTGTATATAACGAAAAAGTTATTACGGAACTTTTTTCATCAAATTTCTTTGGATCACCACAAATAAATCTTATTTAATGTTTTCTAATCAATGGAATTTTTCTAGAACATGAAGAACATTTTAGGCAATCTTCTTACTCAATGCTAGTAAAAAAATTGTTCATCTGCAATTAAAAAAGAAACCACCAACTTCGCCCAAAAGAAGTCCCATGCACCCGCAATCCGCGGCTTTACGTTTCCGCTGAATCTCGGACCGCTGATCCGCCATCGACGGCTTCGGTGAATTTACGGACGCGCTTCATTTAAGGAAGTGCTCCGCCGCGGCCGCCTCTTGCGGCGTGCGCCCGATCGTCAGCTCAGCATAGGAGATTGCCAGCGCTTAAATAAACACAGTTGCTCGAAAGGAAACCAATAATTTAATCTGGTGTTTTCTTCATTGTTTTTAAAACTAAAAATATTTCCAAGCTTATTAGAAGTATACCCACAATTTCCAGGCTTCTCATTTATCAACGAAGCGTAGTGAAATAATGACAGTGACTTTCCCTGTATATCGAGTGGGGAAGAATTGACGATATCACTTCACACAAGACAATACTTTTTGTTTTAGAGGAAAAATGAATAAACTGACGGAGGCGTTTATCTACTATGCGGTCATCGTAGAAGTTGAAATCTTCTGGACATGGTTTGTCCATGGTGGCAAATTAGAAACAGTACTGGGCCTGGAAATATGAAAGTGATCGCGAAAAATATTCGCGCAACAGTAAGCAAAGATACAAGAAATTTAATTTTCATTGGCATTTACAGGAATCTGTTTAATTAATTAAGAATATTGCTCATCGTTCATAATGTACATAGGCTGGAGTCATTTTCTTACATAGGTCATGTCTTTGATTTTCACAGAAACTAGGCATGAGGTTTGCAGATGCCCTAACACCAGTTCCAGAGAGACTGGCCTCTAGCAATGTCATTCAGGGTAGTTTTTTGTGCGTGTCGTCTCACTGCCGTAGTCCTAACTCACTTGCAACAAGTTTGTTGCGAGGCCGAAAAAGCTTGACTTGTGACCACGATAGCTGGAGACAGGACGGAAAATAAAGATGGATTAAATTCCCAAGTGAAGAGTGAAATTTTGCTATTTTTTCACGGACTCCGAGTGCCACAAATCCAAAAACCTTATTTAGAGTTTAATTTTTTTTCTTATTTATCATGACGTATAGGTACTCTTAAAGAAGTTAAATTGCAGTCAATTCTTAGAGACTTCGGTCGTGGTGAAAGGAAATTTTAAGTTTTCAATAAAAATTTTTAAACTTAGGCTCAAAATTTGTCACTACACTCACGCAGTTTTTTAAATTATTATCCTGGAAATTCCATTATCGTTGTGAAACACTACATCCACGTGGTTTAGTATTTAGAAGAATTCCGACATAACTCATAACAGTCGAACAAGCGAGCAATCTGTGTGAGTTAGGAACCACGCAAAATGTTAACTTTAACATTTAAACCTGAAACAACAACAACTTAGACTTAACATTTAACTTAAAACTACAGAGGGCTGTTGGTTTTTGCAAATTACGTTTTTCACGACTGAAAATTTTTAGATAAATAAGTCAAACTCTAGATTCGTGGCTAGAATAATAGCATTAATAGAATAAACTTCAATAGATGACTTAGGCCCGTTCGTCGTAATAAAAGACATAAGTGATAATGATTGGGAAATTTACTTAGTATGAGTATGCGAGGTGAACATGAGAACATATCCATAATTCAGTAAGTCTTCTCGTTTGATCAGTCAGAGAACAACATGCAAGGAAAGCTCGTCCCGAAGTGAACACAGCGTGGGCACATCACACGTCTTCGTAACAGCGTTAGTGTCAATGAGGAGTTCAAGCTAACTCCGGACAAATGGAACACCAGAGACCTAGGCTGTCTCTAGCTCTGCACCCTGATTCAGACGCACGCCGCTCGTGTCAAGTTCAGCTAAATTCAGTAACCGAAGCACAATTGACATCTACATCCGATGTACCCAAGGCAATTATATTTTCAATAATCAACTTACATGAGCAACGTTTCCGGCAATGTGCATTGCAATGGGAACGCTATTCCTGCCTAAACCGAATATATCATCAAACCTATAATATAGTTTTAATAATTAATAAATATGAGCAAAACCTACTGTGATGCGCATTGAAATTGAGGTGCTTTTCTTGCTTACATCTGAATACCGTATCAAGCCTGAACTGGGCCGTTTGTTATGAGTTAATTACGAATTGCTTTATCGATATCAGAAGTTACGCAGTCAGACACTACTACAGAATTAAACCTCGTTAATCGTTCACAACTCTTAGCGTCATAACAGAAAACCTTCTGCAAAATGAGTCCGTGAGGGTCCTCAATAATCCGCGTATATTTTCGTAATGATGCCTTATATATATTGAATCACAATAAGTGAGATGGCGTTCGGTCATTTTTCTTGTTAATATGTTGCAACGAACAATCGAGGATTTTTTCTTGTATGGACCTTTGTCTGGTTTTAATTATAAAAGAGTGTAAAAAAGATTTTATTATGGTTTGCGTTAACTGCACGCCCCTATAATAGTGAGTATAATAATTCAAACGATAGTTGAAATTCGGTCAATATTTGAGAAAGTACTTGTTAAAAACATTTGTAAAACGTTTCAGCGAGGGAGAATGCTGCCCTGACGATGGTCACGTTGATGCTGATGACGAGTAGTCGCTCGTATTCTGCCCTGACGATGGTAACGGTTTTATGCTGACGTTGTAGTGATGCTGTAGTGTTGATCACATAGTGTCAGCACTCAGCACACAGCGGCCGGTAACGCCTTGACAGAATCATTTCCGAGCCCCGAAGCTCGGCCCCTAGCAGGCTGTGTGCTGGGAAATGAGCAATCAGGTGAAAACAGCTTTGGTATCCCCACGCTGCTCGGGCATCCTTGCAGGATCGTGTAATGAAGGAAAAATTTCTAAGTAAATAATTTTGTTAGGAATATCTGATATTAATACGCTTAAAATAGCACATACGCAGAACTGCCACATATTCATCCAAAACTATTTTTAATTGTATTGAGAGGTTGGTAGCGAAAAGTTTCCGAAACTAAAAGTTTTCAAGACGCAATGTCGGCCAAGTTGTTGAGTATTTAAACATTTGGATTGCGAGACAAATTTGTATCTACCAAATGTCGTCTGTAAAGAAATTTGACAGCAGATATCATTATGAAAGTTATTCATAAGAAATGCAGGCTAACATGGACTGTAGAATACATGAAGATAGATTGTTGAGTATTTGCTGAGTTTCAAACAAATCAACTGGCCTCAACGTTTCACACGAAAA